AAATTCTCATATTTTTTATTATCAGTATTTGTATTAAAAATGATTGTTCATGACTAGTAATTCAAAGTATTGTAATTATAGTCTTAACCAATTTGATGTTATGATAAAAAGAATAATAAATGAAATAAACAATATTAAAATTATGAGCATGTGTATTGTTGTTAAGTAACATTTACAAAAATATCCATTCTTGATAATGAATGTGTACTATTAATTTGTATGTTAATGTTTGTCATATAATGAATAAAATAATTCAGGAAATAAAGGTACTTAAACACTGTGTTATGCTTTTATTGAACCAATATAATTTTCATTTGTTTGATTACTTTTGTCATCATACAATTATCATCCATAGTTCAATTAAACTTATAAACAAGACTGAAACATCTTCTACTTTTTTTTTGTTTCATTCTTCTTTTATCTCTTTTATACAAAGTAATTTGTATTGTTCTCTTTTCATTTTATTCAGTCTTCTGTTTTGTTGATATTGTTTTACATTATCAACTCTCTTCACAACATGATAGTTCTTCAAAATGTTCAAAAAGAATCAAAAATACAATTAAAAACTCAATCAATCAAATATAAAGAGAAGCAGCAAAAATAATATCTCTCTTAATCAATGTAACCCCTTCTTCAAACTTCTTTGCTAAGTCTGGATTTCCCATAAATTTACTTGCATCAGTCATTTGAACTAAAAGCTCTTCTAATCTTCTCATTCCACGAATAATACTTCCTTCAAATAATTCACTTCCCTGAATTAGTTGAGCAAAAGTCATTCCATCACACCATGACTCAACAATTGGTAACATTGTTGGTCTAAATTGTTCAATATACTTATTAACATTAATATTCAATCGACAGTCTGCCATAATATTTGCAATACGTGTAGCATTAGTAATAATAAGAGCAAAACTTTCTTCTAAATCTTTTGGAGGTTGAACTTGTTCTTTTGGTTTTTCATCTAATACAAAACATCCTAATAAAGCAGTTGCTTGTTTTGCATTTAATGTACTAAATACTCCACTAAATAATAATTCTGTTAATAATAATTCATTTCCAGCAGAAAGTTCAGCAGCAACTCTTCCTTTAGTTTGAATGATATCATCTTCACTAACATATCCTAATCTTTTTAATACTCTTCTCATTCCTCTTAGTTCATCTTTTAATATAACATCTTTTGATTGGACAACAGTAGACCTTAATACACTAATTTCTTCTCGAATATTTTCTCTTTCAACAAACATATCAAATTCTTTTCTAGTAATATCATCCCATTGAACTTGTTTCCATCTTTCTTTTAATTCTTTAATTTTTTTAATTGATTCTATAACATTTTGATCAGTAATTTTCATATCATTAATAGGGTCTAATACAGGTAAGTTAAAATCTGGATATTTCTTTTTAATTGCATTATTAATTTTAAATAAAAATGTGTCTAAATTGTCTCTAACATTATCTGGTAATCCTAATCTTAATGTAGATACTTCTGAAATACATTCAATATTAAATGATGTAATTCCTGCATTTCCTCCTTTTCCTAATTCTCCTGGAGTTGGTTGTAATGCTCCTTTCTTTAATGAAACAATAACACTAACAGTCCCAACTTTTCTTTTTCTATCTGCTAACACAGGTACCCAACCAAAATCAAATAATGTATTTTTATCTACAATATGAACTAACCTTCCATCAACTAAAAATGGTAATAAAACTGCTTCTTTATAAATAGCTTCATGAATATTTTCATTATGTTGATCAATAGCTAATTTAAGATGATATAATGGTTTAACAATATCTTCTTGTGTAAAAATATATGTTTTTTCTTTTTCTTCTAATTCTTTTAATTTCTTTTGTAATTCAGGTAATTTATTATTTGTTTGGAATTGTCTAAATGATTTAGAAATTAATCCTTCTGGATCTGCTGCTTCTAGTTTCATTAAATTTAAAAGCATATTATATCCTAAATAAAATGATGATGTTAATGGATCTGCTTTTCCAAAAATCATATTTTTTAATACCGTTGGTTCTATTTTTTGATCTACCATTAAAATAACTGTTCCTTGATCATCTTTTCCTCTTCTTCCAGCTCTTCCACTCATTTGAATATACTCTCCTGGTCTAAGATATCTCGTTTCTTTTCCATCATATTTTTTTACATTAGTAAATACAACAGTTCTTGCTGGCATATTTAATCCCATAGCAAATGT